TCCTTCAAGGTTACAGATACACCTTGTTGATGACCGCAACACTTAAGCTCAGGGCTTCATATCAACATCACTTTATGATGTGTTAGGCAACTGTCTTAAAAGTTAGCCAGGCCTAACAATCTACTTAAAACCTTAGAAATTATATGACATTACTAATAAATAGTCAAAAAACGACAGAGTTACTCGCCGATGACAATGACTGGCGGTTGCATTGTGTATATCGCAAATTGATACAAGCTGGAATTTATGGGCTACTCTTTCATGTCTCGGTGGCTGAACCATCTACGAGCTCACCTTATAACCGGAGGGTCCTGGGTCCGAACCGCCGCTGAAAAGTTCCGAACTTAAGAAAATATATATATATATATGTGTCTAGATCATAGTAATGCTACCAAAATCACTTTTTTGACGGAAAAAGTAAAATACAAGCGATACTTTAGCATCCGATGAATAGAAGTAAGCAACAATTCACTGTCACAATTACTCAATAAGACTCAACTTATTTACCAGTATTAAAATAACTCAATAAGCCTTTATGAACTATTTATAAATTTAAGCTACTTGGTTGATAATCGCTGTCACTGGAATCATGTTTTTTCAGCTGGATGTGCTTGAATTTTAATCGCTATCTATGCTATGATTTTCCTTAGAAGATAACTAAGAATATTCCAGATGTTTTCTTTGCTTCGCTTTTCACATATCTATAAGTAAGAAAATAATTCATTGTCTAAAGTTTATTTGATTGTATGGAGGACTTCATCACAAGCTGATATCAGTTAGAGAACCATTGGAAAACCACCGGGGAGTACTGGACAGCTGTTTCGTCCTAGTTTGGGACTCTTCAGTAGTACGCACCCACCGTAAGAGGTTAGAACCCAGGACCTTTTGGTCACAAGGCGAGCTAGCTCGTAGACCATTGAGTCACTGGGACCCGATCCAATGCAATCAAACAAAATCCCTAAAAAACGAATACTTAAAGTCTACTTAACTTAACGGTGAATACTGATCACCTCTATGAAGTTAAAATAATACCATCCATTATAATGCAGATTTCATCACAAACCAACAACATCAGTTAAAAAATCGTTGAAAATCAGGGTTGTATTTTATTTGGATGAACAGACAAAAGCTAGATAGAACCCATAGGTTACTGGAATTCAACTTCATGGCTTAGTCTTAAACGTGCTATTTGCATAATTTGAAGGTTATAAACGCAATCCCTTCTGAGGTCTTCAGTCAAGAAACTCAAACTAGGATGGAACAGATATCCATTACTGACTAGTTTTATTGATTCTTGAATTAATGTCATTTTCATGACTAAATCTACTCTGTAATTATTAATCAAGTCGATGTGTCGGTGGCACAACGGTTAGGACACTCGCCGACCATGCATATGTTCTGGGGATCGGTCCCTGGCCGATGCACACTTGGCATTATCGATGGCTGGCCTGCTAAATTTGGGCTACCGATATCACATGCTGAAAATTCCATACTTGTACTAAAAACTACGGTGTGGAATCAAGCTATAATGAAACAAAAAATAAAATAAATCCATCTCCTGAATATCTACTAAAACACTGTTTTTTTTCACGACTAATCGTTAATGACGAATAAAATTACACTATAATTATAACTATTAGAGAATAATTAAGATAAAGTGAATAAATTTACAGACGAAACTATATCGTATACTTTAGATTAAATTATAGAAGCTTCTCAAAAGAGATTAAGTCATACACCTCTGTGAATACTTTCAGTTGAATAAATGAGTTTTTGAATGAAAGTGCCGTAGGCAGAGTTTTTATCCAAGGGTATAATAGTTTGAACTGTTTGTGTAGATTCATTCTGATGGATTTCTACAATTAGTCCCACTATTCTTATTGACTCCCTAAAATATCATTTCTAAGATTAAAATATTTGTCGAAATGACAGCATGTACTACTCACTAGTTGAGATGAGTAGTTGGAAACTACTGGTAACAAACAATAGTGCTTGCTAGTCAGATTGAAGGGACCTAACTAAACACAGGACAGTCGTTTCTCTTATCTTGGAAACGAGCTCATCAGTAATGCACTTGGTGTGACTAAGTTTAGAGAGACAAATGAATTCGAACTACTCAAACGATATGATTAGCTACTTTAGTGAACTGCTTTCTTGGTGTTGTGTCAAGCAGATCTCATATCTTGTGATCTAAAATACCCTGGATTACCAAAAGGAATTGTAGAAGAACTTTCCCCTAGAACTATGTGTAACAATGATACACACTATACTACCTGTTGAATTCTCACCTTGAAGAGTGTCATTTAAAAATTGATGAATACGATTCACTGGAATTAGTTAATTGAGTAATTTTCTCTACACATATGCACATACAGACGAAGGTAAAAAAAAAGTGGCTTATCAACTAGATTAATAGACAGGAAATAAATTATAATCCTTTACATTCACAGTGGAATATCCAGGGGCATCCAGATGGAGCTTTAAAGTTTCAGTGGCATTGATGTTTATTTTTACGGGTTTATTTATAAGGCTTTGATTTGTTTTGTAAAGCCTTAAAAATCAACTCATGAAAATTCATCTGATGTTAGCTAGTGACTGGACACAGGACGGAGTTTCTTGGAGTTCTAGTGAGAAGTCGCGACCAGTAGTGCGGGCCATCCAGTCGGGAGTGAGAAGGAATTTCCTGCAGATGACATTGGTTGGTGCTGGAGCTAAAAGTCACGAATTGGTAAAAGTCATTAGAAGTCATGGGCTGGCTGCTAAAGAATTAGGTCTCAGTGACAGAATGGTCCTGAGCTAAAACCTCCTGAGGTGGGTGCGTACTACCAATGATTCCCTGACTAGGATGAAACAGCCATCTAACAATACTCCCTAGTTTCCACTGGTTCTCTAAATGATATCAATCCGTGGTCAAACTTTAAAACATATCATTCATATCATAAATCTATGTAATTTCCAATTTTAACAAAATAACGGTAAATTTACTTTGAAATAATTTGAGATATTACATACCATCTTGAGAATCCTCAACTTCATTTTGACCAACTATTAAATTAAAGATTTTATAATACAGTGTCAATGAATTTCGAACTGGTGACCATTTTAGTATTCTATTGTTCTTTGTCCTATACACTAAATCTGATGTTTAACTACGGTAATGCAAAATTTCTGTTGGCATAGCATGTAAATTGCATCGGTGATGCAAGAGTAGTATACTCATCAGTTGCTCAGTAGGTTCGGGTTTTTATCCCTGCCTGATGAACAAACTCTTAAACCTGGACTAGTTGATAGTGAGTCCGGCAAAGAGGGAAGGTTGGATGTGAAATTAGCAACTCTATCCGATTAAAATAAATACCACAGCTACGGGAAACTTCAAAAGCTCTATCTGTGAAGCCCTATCTTCCACTGGGAAGCAAAGGAATAAAATAATAATAATGATATGTATATTAGTGAAATCTAATTAGTGATGCGTAATCGTCAAAAGGGATCGTTAGCTGCAGTCTAACTCATTTAACTGCCATCCATATTTATCTCTTGAAATAATATTCATAACTACAAGGTAGGGTTTACTTTGAAGATGTTGTCCATTAGAGAGAACGAAAGCTCTGCAGCTTAGACAGCATAACCACATTACAAAAGGAAATAATAATTATTTCTCAAAACTCAAAAAGCAGAAAAGTTTGTTCGCAACAGGTTTTCTATTCTTTAGGATGCCTAAAATCTCTCTACTAACTGTTTAATAATAATAATAATAATTTGCTTTATTCCAAAACAGTACTGTGATACAGAATGGAATTCTAACCATTTTACTACAGTATTCCATCCACTTAGTACATTATCAATAAATAAAATTCTACATAGATTAAGGAAATCTCAGTTACTTTTGACAACAACATATTGGCATCTCGGTAGCAAAGCCAAAATTGAACAGAGTGTTTGAAGGTGATAGAAGAGTAGATACTACTAGCATATTTACTGGTGTAAGCGGTAACAAAACGTCGAGATATACAGAGTGTGAAAGAACGAAGAAGAATGTTTCAAGTAGAGTTTGTAAGGAAGAGAGAAACAAGACAGCACATAACAAAAAAAAGAAAAGGAAAAGAAAGAAAGAAAGAAAAAACGTTGTGTCTGTAAATGATATGAGTTGGAAAGATGAGATCCAATTGTTCTACTAACTGTTTAATAAGTTATAGGTATCACGCCTAATGCTTTCTTTATCTCACAGAACACGAGCTAAGTAGGATATGGTTGAGTTTTTGTGCTTTCTAGTGCGAGCATATAATTTTCTATATAGTCTTCTGGTTCTGCCTGATGAGATACAAAGGAAAGTTGTGAATGAAGAGGGTGTTGTGAGTTAGATAAAATGGATTTTGCCCATTTTACACATGAGTCCATGTGCCTGTCAACCAGGATATTAACAACCTGGTTAAGTGGCACATCGCTTACCCTGCTGACAACCTTCAACATCCTACGTAATAAGATATAGTCTTTCTTCAGTAGCCCTAGAAAAACTAAGGGGGAGCAGTAGAGAATAATAGGCAGGATGGCAACACATTAGACAGTGAGCAAGTCAATGAATTAAATAGCTCTTAATGAAATGGAATAAATTAGGATAGTTAAAAGTGAAATGCTAACCATCCTTTCAGAATTATTATCGTTAAATTTAACTCTGTAATTTATCTGGTAGGCTGTCACATGGATAGATAGATTCCTCCACGTTGAACAAACGTCTAACCGACAAGTATCAGTAAGCATAAAACCAAGGTCAATGGCTTCCTACCAACTGCCTTCAATCATTTAAAATTAATTCAAATGTGTTGGACTGAGATGATAAGTCTCCTAGATTGTTGATGACATTGTAGACTAACTGACTGACTGACAAAACTCAGTCACCACCAATGCTAAGAACCAGACACCTGACTCCATTCAATAAATATATATATATATATATATCGGTAAGAGAATTAATAAAATTAGCATAAATAAAGGTGACAACTAACTTGACAAAGTCTTCACGACAGTATAAATGCCCATCTTTAGAATAACATCGTTCTGTAAGAAGAAATCCACACTCAAAACATCTTAAACAACTTTGATGCCATGTATAATCACCAATACTATAATAAAATTGATCAAATATAATTGTTTGACATTCATTACAATGGATCATCATATTATCTTTTCTAGTATCATGATTATTTACACATTTACTCTGTATACATTGATTAGATAATTTTACATTATTATTATTATTATTATCGTTAGAAGTATTACTTATACTCGAATGATGTTCATTCATAGTTGAACTGTCAGTGGCACTGTTATCACCATTATTATTGTTTAATTGAGTAACGACAGAATGATTTGTCTCCATTCGATTTGCGCTTGAAGTAACAGATGTTTTACATGAATAAGACAGTAAATTTGGATCCGATATATGAATTATATTACTGTTGCCGTTATTAGTAGTAGTAGTATTCGTAGTAGTAGATGGTATATTAACACTATTACTACTAAGATTAATTGCACTTGTACTAATATTCTCATTGAAATCAAAGGATAATTTATTTTGATTGAAATTTGTTGATATCCAATTTTCAGGATTTAAAGTTGTCATTGTTCTTCTTCTTCTTTAATTTTTGATTAGATGAACACACGCATACCCACAGACACAAAGTTAATTGATGATGATTATTTGAAAAGGTTGTTTAGAAATTTATCAAACTGTCTGATATACAATTATCACCACTATTAGTAATTGATTTGATTTGAAATGTTAAAAAAATCAATGGTTGATACACACTGTTGTATAATAGTCAATGATCATTTTTTTTTTTGTTTTGGATTTTGTTGTGTTGAAAAATGAATGGTTAACTATTTATTGAATTAATAATACATTAACTATTTGTTAATCTAAAAATGTTGTAAGTCTGAATTTCTAATGCTCTCTCTTTCTCTCCACAATTCTGATTCCTGTTGCTACTTTTCTCACCTTAGAAATAGCGTCTTGTCTTATGTTGTAAACTCCCCCTGTCTATCTACTAATCCTACTGTATATTTTTCTCTACCCCTATGCGCACCAGTCACATGTAATCATAAAGTAATAAATGTTTTTGATTGGTTGAAAAATAATAAACGTGAATACAAGCGGTAATTTCGACAAGAATACAATTAACTTGGATGCCCCCCTTTCATTCTAACATTCATTTTCTATAATCTATATTTTATGTCCCATTTAACTAGATGTTGATGATATACGACTCTTAAGAAGTAGTAGTCATTGTTTTGATGACAAATGAGATTTAGTGAACGAATACAACAAACAATGAGAATATATCTATATACACAGAAAGATTATATAGTCTGTAGGAAACATACCCTATCGATTATTGGTCAATATATCACATGATTCGCGAGATGATAGATAAATGAGTAGGCAGACGCAGGTAAACATACACTGATTTGCATAACTCGATATTTTATTTGTTGTCACTATCTCGAGTATTTTCTCATGCTAACTTTATAAATCATTATCAACACAAGATTTTGAGCGAATAACTGTCTTCGATAACTTCTTCTTCAAGCTCTACAATTATAAATCCATAAATAACAGAGTACAAATAGCCAATGAAAGGCAAATGAAAATAGTATCAGAAAGTGTATTGGGGTGGTGCATGTGTAAGTTGAGATGATAGTCCATTCGTTAACATAGTCAATCAAATTTGTATAGCGTATATAGAAAAGAAAATAGAAATTGGGATCATACCAAGAAAATTGAAAGAATTACTACTAAAATGTACAATGAACGTTCAATTTGTATTTAGTAAGGAGTATTACCACCATATAGATGGGGTTGCTATGGGTTCTCCTCTTGGTTCCTTATTGGCTGACATATTTCTATCTAAATTGGAAAATGGTCCTTTAAAAGAGATACTAAACGAACTTGATTATTATTGTCGATATGTTGACGATAGCTTTATCATTTGTAACAATAATTTGGATAAACAACACTTGCTCCAAGTCTTCAATAAGGCAAACCCAGCTATCAAATTCACTCATGAAGAGGAACTCCAAGGTAGTATTCCATTTCTTGATGTTCTTTTCACAAGAAGATCAGACGGTACCTTGAAAAGAAACATCTATAGGAAAGCGACGTGGAACGGACAATACACCCACTTCCATAGCTTCATTTCTATACAATATAAGCGCAACCTAATTCGTTGTCTTAGTCATAGAATTAGACGCAATGTACCGACGATTGCATTGAAGATGAAATAAGAAATCTTACAAACACCTTGCTACAAAACGACTATCCTATCAACTTTGTAAAGAAGTATATCTATGAAACTACACATAAAACTAAGCGAGACACAGTAAGAAAAAGCTTTACTTAAATGTACAATTCAAAGGCGATATATTAAGCGATATATTAAACCGCAGATTAACGAGATCATTTGAAAGAACTCTGAATGACGCAAAACTGCATGTCAGTTTCTCAACCAGACTGATATTGACACTGTGCATTAAAGATAGATTGCTCAAAATGGCAACATCAATGTGTGTATATAAATTCAACTGTTCCTGTGGAGCTAGTTATATAGGTCGCATCCAAAGGGATTTATCTTTACGCACTCGTCAACATATTCCTGTTTGGCTTGGGAAAAGAACAACCAAATCATTAAATAGTGCAATTCTGTCTCATCTAGTGGATAGCGAACACTGCATCAAATTAGATGAGTCATTTACAATTGTGTATCGAGTACCGAACAATCTCCCCAAATGCACACAATTAAGCCTCCTAGCCATAGCTGAGGCTATAGTGATTAATAGAGAGAGACCAGACCTATGTGTACAGAAGAAACTTATTCACTCTCTCTATCTACCCTGGTTCACTATAAGGTCACCAGGATCATAATTTTTCGTGCTATTATTATCATTATTATCATTTTGTGATATCATGTCCCTATTATCCATTTCTCTGCCCAGTTTATTTCACCCCATCGTTAACCTTAATTTTTGTCAACATTTGTGATTTTTTATACTAAGCCTACCAATTCTGTAACATCTTATTACAATTTACAATTTAGCCTCTTTATTTTATCATCAAACATTATCGGTCAGCCCTCACATTCAGTGCCTCCTTTGTTAATGTGTATGTGTATGTATTTTGTGGTTATCGCATTTCTCCTACACCAATGACACTTGTATTCTGTTGACTATAAAACAACACTATATCATCTAATTGTTCATTCACACACTTTTTTTGACTATACACGCTATACAAATTTGATTGACTATGTTAACGAATGGACTATCATCTCAACTTACACATGCACCACCCCAATACACTTTCTGATACTATTTTCATTTGCCTTTATTGGTTATTTGTACTCTGTTATTTATGGATTTATAATTGTAGAGCTTGAAGAAGAAGTTATCGAAGACAGTTATTCGCTCAAAATCTTGTGTTGATTTCATTTTTAACAATGATGTTTGTACAGAGTGTTCAGTGATGAGTCCGGCTAGAATTTATGAATTGATGAGATACAGCTTTTTATTCCACAAATGTTATTTGTTATAAAATAAACATCCCATTTATTACTATCAGTAGTATTTCTTTTTCTGTTAAGTCCTCTTTCGTCCACTGACAGACAAAGAGTTCCACTTTCTACTGATTAGCAAGATAAAAATCCAAGACTTGTATTTGGAACATTTTCCCTTTCATCAGTAGTAGAGTGTTTGTTGTTTCTACCGCGAATTTTAAATTACAGTAATTTCAATATATCTCCATTTACAAACATGCTCTATAAATTTTAAGTATCAATAAAAGCACAGATGCGTCTGGTTACTGATAGGAAGTGGTTAAACCAACAGCTTAAAATATTATGGATAGATTGAACCATTGGTCCGAGGCAGAATACTTGCTGTAATCTGATTGGACAACGATTAGGCCTGATTTTTGGGAGCGAAATTTAATTAGTTATTTGTTAGATTAACTTTTTGAGATTATTAGTATTCATATAGGATGTATTTTGTATAATAGATTGAATAGTTCTCACCAATAAAGACCAGTTTATCTTCTGTCTTCATTTTCATGGGCTAAACGGCGGGAGTGGGATTAAAATCATTAATAATTAATATCTGACCTATTGCTTTTCATTTTTCAAATTTACAATTCACAGTTTATTATATCAACAGATATGACAGTTACATAAACGTCTATTGTTTTATTTCCTTCTAAAAATATTCAGGGAGGTAAGGAAGTCAATCTACGAATCGCCTTGAACACCCAATCAGTCATAGTCGGGCTTTCTACCGACTAAATCTAGGCGTCTATCAGATGCGAACCTCACCCGGAACATATGCATGATTAGCGAAAATTTTATCGTTCAACTATCGACGTACATATAAAAGTATGTTGAACCCTAACATTCTATAAAATAATTCTGACATATAACAAAGATATTTCTTAATTTCTCACTGAATAGTCCGTTGGGGGTATTAACCCAGGTTCCATACATGTATTTGTCCGTGGAGCTACATAAATCATTCCGCCGCAAGATCCATCAATATTTTTTATTCATTCCCTACAAAACCTTTCGATGAAATTGCAGAATTCACAAAATCGAAAGAATCAATGACACAGTTGGTTATATCCGACAAATTCATCTGCGTAGATTGATTTTTCGAGTAAGACTAATCCTAGAATAACTGGGATACACGCTAGTGAGCTGTTAAATAGTATTCCCATCATTCCTTCACTTAACAAAATGTCATAAATCTCCAGTAACTACATTTGATGATCCCTGTGAGTTCCTGTCTTATATTTTCTTTTTATTACCACCAATGCATAAAATGTAAAGTGTGACTACCACATCTGTTGAAAAGACCACTAACTTTTATGATATCACATCTCTGTAATACTCACGCCATTACAACATAGATGTAAGGCTGTTGACGTCAGTGAACTCTAAAAAACAACCCAGTTGTAAATAAATAAATAAAATATTCGATGAGGATAGTTTTGGTCTGAAGAGAGAAAAGCATCTATAGAAAAATATCACAAATCAACTTCCTTCTACGGCAACTACCACATTTGGTTACAGGATTCCATCATGAGCTGACATCAGTCAGAGAACCATTGGAAAACTGCCAGGGAGTACTGCACAACCGTTTCGTCCTAGTTTGGGACTCCTCATCATCATCACCACAGGAGGTTCGAACCCAGGACCTTCTGTTTACAAGGCGAGCTAGCTCGTAGAGCATTAAGACATTGGGACCTAATCTAATGGCCCATTGGATCGGGAGGAAACGGCTGTCCAGTACTCCTTGGTGGTTTTCCAATGGTTATGTAACTGATGTCAGTTCACGATAAAATCCTCGACCCAATCAATCAAGTCCCTACAAAAACCAATACTTGAACAAAACAGTAAGTTGAAAACTATTTTAAAGAAGTACATGAGTACATGTTACGACCCAAGGATGATCAGAATAATAAGAAATGAGGAAGAGTTGTTGCGTTGTACCAGATAGCAATTTAAATAACCAAATAATGTGAGCAAAACTCCGAATGAATTTATACTGATGACTGATATGAGTAGCTGATTCTAAACTGAAAGTTAATATTTTATTGTTTTACTATTCAAAGTTTTAAAAAAATAGCTGAACTTCAATAATAAATTAAGTTATTTGATCAGTAAAAAGCGTCGATGGCACAGCGGTAGAATACGCGCCAACCGTGCATGTAGTTCGAGGTTCAACCCTCGGACGACTCACAGCTTTACCTCGCTAATCCAATAATAAGATCGGTAATGAGGGAAGGTTTGGCATGGATGGAGCTAGTAACTCCACTCCGTAAAAATAATAAACCATTGCTATCGAAAATTCGAAGCTCTAGTTTGAAGCCTTATGTTCGCACTGGGAACATAAAGGAATAAAATAATAATAATAATAATAAATGTAATAGTGATAATCAGTAAAGTACTGCTTCATTACTTGATGATTAATCTTCTCTCTGCAGCATGTAATTTTACTGAAAAAGTGTTTGCATTTTTTTATTCCTTCATCTGTTATCAAAGCAAGGATCGGGAAAGCAAGACAAGCCTTCATTACTCTCAAGTCTGTGTGGAGGTCAGCAGCACTCAGCATCAAAAATAACATCCGGATTTT